CAAATGACACTTTCTTAGTGAAGCCCTCCCTGGCTAGACTTTTTAATACTGCAACTCTCCTCATAAGCCTATCCTTCTCTCTTCCCTTTCTCTGCTTTATTTTTGTCCATCTCATTTCCAATATACTATATAATTTTTTTGTTCATCATCTATCATTTAAAATTTCACAAGGGCAAAAATTTTGGTATGTTTTGTTTACTACTGTTTTCTCTAGAGCCTAGGACAGCATCTGGCACATACTAGGCACTCAATAAAATATTTGTTGAATGAATGTATGACTGCAACAATAGTGTTCTTTAGCTACCAAAGAAAAAAATGCTGCAGAACGCAGTGTGTAAAAATATGAGCAGGTGAGGGGCGCCTGGGTGGCTCAGTCGTTAAGCATCTGCCTTCGGCTCAGGTCATGATCCCAGGGTCCTGAGATCAAGCCCCACATCGAGCTCCCTGCTCAGCGGGAAGCCTGCTTCTCCCTCTGCCACTCCCCCTGCTTGTGTTCCCTCTCTCGCTGTGTCTCTCTCTTCAAAAAAAAAAAAAAAATGAGCAGGTGAAAACGAATTCAACCTAAATGTATTGAGATTTATGTTTCAAACATCATCACAGTTTCTTTTATATTGTCCATAGGCTATATGAACTGGAACATTTGATATCACATAAAAGTTGTGTACGCTGTATCTGTGTATATCAGGTCTCCCAAGAGTGGACAATACCTAACCAAGTTTGGAGAACACAGAATGGATTTCAGAGATGAATCTGTTAATAATCTATTATTAGTACTCTTGGTGGAAATTTCAGAAACCTAGAGCAATGGTTCTTAAAGTAATTCAGATGATAATATATCTGGAAGACATGGTGCTCTTTGAAGAACACCATTTATTAAAAACATTTACGACATGGTTTAACGAAGGTAGTAAAAAATGGTCCCTGACATTGAGGATCTTACAGACTAGAGGAAGAGACAGACAAAAGTAAGGACTACATGGTGTGACAGGAGTTATTCCTAAGGTGATAAAGAAACAGAATAAGGGAATAGCTCAACTGAAGTGGCTAGAGGCTTATAACTGACTTCCATAAACAGCTGATAATTGATCTGAGGCTTAAAAGGACAACAAATTACACAGGTGAAGAAGGAAAGAAAGGAATTTCTAGGTATAGCATATGCAAAAGCATGAAGGTAAAAGAGCACATGTTAAAGAGGCTGCAAGTCAATAACTCATTTGATTTCAGCATACAACTAGAAGAACTTTTACTTATAGAAGATGACTACACTCCAATATAGCAATATAAAACCATAATCACAAGCACACATTCATAAAAAACTGTCAATATAATCATGACCGACTGCTGAGTGCCCTATAATACTCATTTGCCACACATTAATCTAGTTGTATTGAAGATAAATTGCATACTATTACTTGTGAGTGATTACCTAAGCAGGCATCTAAACCTTAACAACTTACTTAGGAAAAACCCTTAAAATTGAGAACATTCTATTAATTCCTTTTCCAGTAAAATGGGAAAAGACCATACTATTTGATTCTAAGTAATAAAAATACTTGGTTCAGAATACTAGTGTCCAGTAAGAGGCAGAGTGAAAGACCCAATGATTTAGAGCCATTTATAGAAAATCTGGGAGAGACTCTTTCAGACACCAAAGTCACATAGCAAGTGTAGCAAGAGATTTAACTAGGAGTCTTGGCTATCCAGCAACAGCAAGGAAACAGGAAGTAAGCGAAACATTTGCTTGAACATTCAGAGACTTCAATGGAGCCCATGCATTTCCTCCACATAGGAAAGTCTTTAAATCTTTCATCAGAGGTTTTTAATCTTAAACATAATATAAACAAACACAGTACCTGTATCCTCATTCAGTGTATCTGTGGTAAAAAATTGAGCTGGGTGATGAAGGTGGGAGTGACATGTTACATTATGGTTCACTGACAGCATAAGAAATTTAAAGTAACAGCCTGAATATAAAGGGGATAGAGAAAAACTGTATAAAGCAAACACAGGAACATAAAAGCACAGCAGTCCAAGGCATTTAGCTGGGGAGTAAACAGCTGCACACACCCATAAGCAGCTCTGAAAACACCACTAAATCAAAGCACTACATAATAAGTAATATTATCAATGACAGCCCCAAGTCATCTAGAAAATGTTAACTTACGTTCAATGAATTCTTTTTTAGAAGGCAGGGAAGCATGTAATACATTTTGGAAAAATCCATCAAAATAGTTAAAACAAAAGGCATGGATGCTTAAAACTGTAGGCTTTGATACATAATCTTGAAACTTCATATAATAGAGCTTATTCCTCCAATGTCATTCCAGTAGGTTAAATTTCTTAAGGCCTGAAAACAATGTAATTTCTAATGTGTCTATTTTATACCTTTAGCAGCCTAATCACTCTATAGAATTTTATCCTCATAAGACCACTAGTTAGAACAGAGGTTCTTTTTTTTTTTTTTTTTAAAGATTTATTTATTTATTTGAGAGAGCGAGAAAGTACATGAGAGGGGGGAGGGTTAGAGGGAGAAGCAGGCTCCTCGCCGAGCAGGGAGCCCGATGCGGGACTTGATCCAGGGACTCCAGGATCATGACCTGAGCCGAAGGCAGTCGCTCAACCAACTGAGCCACCCAGGCGCCCAGAACAGAGGTTCTTAAGAACTGTAGATGAACTTTGATCTACAAACTCATTGAAAGTATATGCAAAATTTTGTGTCTAGTCCGTATGTGCATTTTTCTGGAGGAAAAAGGCCAAAGCTATCACCTGATTCTTAAAAGTTCTAAGCCAAGAAAGACTTTAGAATACTAGTTCAGATTATAAAATACTTTAAATGAGGAAAAAACAGCTAATTTATTCATGGAGAATGACTAAATTAAATTTTATTTCAATGTACTGTTAATGTAAACGTAACTAGCATATTATGACAGCTACTTTTTTAAAGTTGCTATATATGTGAGAGCACTTATATAGTATTCAACATAAGCTATAACTTCTAAAACATTGCCATAACAAATTATCTGGGTGCCTAAAAATAAAATGACTTTGGTTTCTTATATCTTACTAATACATTTGGCTATATGTAATCATTTTGGTAGAGCCATAATAAGGAATTATGAAACAATTTTTCTTATCACTCTACTCTTCAAAAATCTCCACTGAAGCATTCTACTTAGTTGAATCTACATTCTCTTGAAAGCACCCAATTGCTGGTGTTTGTTATCGTTTCAGAATTTACAGCAGAAGCTCTCCTAACAGATCTTTACCTAACAGAGCTAGTGTATTAACATGTACACTGTAAAACATAACAAACGATGCTCATGGGATGCTGAGTGCTTGAGGGTAACTAGGCTACTATCTGTTAAGCCTGCATCCTTCTGTTTCTGTTGGTTAGGCTGTTTTGTTTATCAACTCCGCTGGGTTGTTCCCAAGCCTATTTATGCGATTTTTCCATATTATAATAATTTACTTAAATATATGTAGAGTGACAAAATAAGTGCTCCCTACTAAGAGGTTTACTGTTTATTTGAAAATCAGGTGAGTGCTTTGAGAAGCTTCAAAAAAGGAGCTCCACACCCATATAAATAAAGTTAATTTATATGTGGGTGACACACCTATAAAAGAGTAGGGGTGACTATCATGAAATCTAATAGGATTCTGTACTTGGATTGCATTTTCAAGATTCACTTTGGAGAAATCAACCAGAAAACTGATGCATTATGGGTATATTTGCACAAGAAAGACAAAGGGAAAATCCAATCTATAGATCCATATTCAAAGAAAAGATCTTGATTCTCTATCAAAAGATTTGGTAAACAAATATATATATATTTAAGATATGTATGTACCTTTTTGTCTGTTTTTAAATGATTCTTGCTTTAAGTGAACATCTTTGTATCCTGATCATCGTGAATAAAGGGGGGATTCTACTAAATGTGATCCATGATTTAGTTATTAAGTTCTTCTTGCTAAGATACCAGAAGGAGCTAATGGCCTTCTGTGGATCATTTACCCCAAAGGAATGAACTTAAAAAGTGGAATTTTAAGCACCGTGTGAGTCCATTCAGGGACAAACTGTGCCTTTCTGAATCCCTCAAATCACACTGTAGGAAGATGGCTTTCTTTATCCAAACAGCCCATTGCGCTTTCTCATTAAATCATTAGGTAAATCTTTAAAATTTCCATCTTGAAGTTAGCTTGGCCAACAGTCTAGAATGAATCTGATAATTGTAGAAGGAATCACAATCTATGGTATGACTGTTGAAATTTTTAGCTGATGCTATCCAGCAAACCACTGAAATACTTTCATTTATTAGATACTGATTCTTACCAATTTGGCTCTGAGAGTTAAAAGAAACTTCCAAGTTCTGGATAACTGGAATTTACCAGAGATTTTTTAGAAAACAGAGCATGTGAGGAAAAAAAATGGAATTTACATGGTGTCACTTGTCCAATATTTATTGCATTCTTTTTTTTATTCTTATGTTAATCCCCTACATTACATCATTAGTTTTAGATGTAGTATTCCATGATTCATTGTTTGTGCATAATGCCCAGTGCTCCATGCAGAACGTGCCCTCCTCAATACCCACCACCAGGCTAACCCATCCTTCCACCCCCCTCCCCTCTAAGAACCCTCAGTTTGTTTTTCAGAGTCCATCGTCTCTCATGGTTCGTCTACCCCTCCGATTTCCCCCGCTTCATTCCTCCCCTCCTGCTACCTTCTTCTTCTTTTTTTTTTTTCTTAACATATATTGCATTATTTGTTTCAGAGGTACAGATCTGAGATTCAACAGTCTTGCACAATTCACAGTGCTTACCAGAGCACATACCCTCCCCAGTGTCTTATTTATTGCATTCTTAATGTGTGTGTATCACTGTGAGAAACTATACACTGCAGTAATATTAGTAAAAAAGTTTGCCAGAGTTATATTAAGCAGCAAAAAAATTATCTTCACTGAGAACCAGGAAAAGGCCCCAAAATAAAGCATAAACACAACTACCTGGCTGTTTGTGGTAGGTGAGCTCTCTGCTTGTTAAGCAGAACCACCGTTTCTTGAAATTCTTTTTCCCGATCCGAGTTCTTCCCTGAGCTCTTTTATACATCTCACTGCCAAAACGACGATAGGAAAATTTAGTTACAAATATTAAAATAGTTCATCCAAGACAAAAACTGTTCTTTAACTTTAAATGACATTAAAGGCTGTGTAAGATCATATTAAGTATATGAAAATGTCTTTGTCATCTATAACTTCTGCATTTATTTTGGCCATGTTAAGGGAATAAAGTCTTTAAATTAATATTTATAATTGTGCTATTCAGAACTAAAAGGGCCAAACTTTAACTCAAGTTCCCCTTTAACTTCCAATGATAACACTACTTCAAGACTGAAGAGTGCTATTACTTTTTAAAAGTACTCTAATATCCATAATCTCATTATATTTACAAAACTACTCTAGGACTGCATGAACAAGGAATCATGCCCATGTGGCATAAAGTTTATATGACAGTGTGACTTACCTGATGGATGTTACTTAAGCAGTTCTAACACAGAACAAAACCCAGATTTCCTCACTTCCAGACCCATGCTTTTTGTACTATGTAACATCTATACTGACACATGACTTTAATCTCTAAATTCATTAAATTACCCTTCTTTCAGGTGCACAGGCTCACTCGTACCACTGGATTCTTTAGTTTCAGTAGATGAAATTTCATCCAAGAACTAAATAGGGAAATGGGCAAAAATTACACTTTATGATAACATATATCAAAAATTCATTTTATCTTAAATATCACGGATAATATTGTAAAGTTTTTCTTTAAGGAATACACATAATTGTACCTTATAAAGCAAAACACATATTTAATTGTAGAGGAAGTCCTAAGTTACACAATGGATAGGTGTTCTAAAGAGTTTATTCTCAAGTTACTTAAAACCCAGAATATGTTTTTCCCTATAGAAACAGATCAAGCTACAATCCTTAAACTACCATTCTGAAATCTATAAAGCTCTGAATAAAAAGAGTTGTTTTTGTTTTTTGATTTACAGTAAACTCATTTGGGGGCACAACTTAATTTGAACTACCAAAGGTTATTTATAGTCTGTATTTATCTTACTTAATGTGAATATTCATACATTGTGCTCTATAATGTATTTGATTATGGGGTGCTACCTCAGGCTCCATGGGGGTATAATACATAGCACAGACCTATTATCTTTTAAAACTCTGAAAAACCGAATTCTGAAATATTTCTGGTCCCAAAGATTTTAGATCTAGGATTGTGAAACCTATATTATATGTCAGGATCACCAAATTATGGTTCAGTGGCCAAATTCAACCTGTAGCCTGTTGTTTGTAAGGCCTCTGAGTTAAGAACAGTTTTTATATTTTTTAAAGGGCTACAAAAACAAAGAATATGGGACAGAGCCCTTATATGGCCAGCAAAGCCTAAAATATTTACTCACTGGCCCTTTACAGAAAAGATTTTGCTGAATTCTATTATGTATAACTGACTGTAGCCCTGAGAGACAGTATTCTACAAATTATGAATGAAATGTAATTGGGTTCTCTGGAATAACGTCGAAATCTAATCACCATTTATAAACTTCCCAGGGAGAATGGGAATGTGGTGGCTCAAGAAAGTTTGGAGTACCCATCTCTAGCAATGGCAAGCCACTCTTTTTTTTTTTTTTTTAAGATTTTATTTATTTATTTGAGAGAGAGAGACTGAGAGAGAGAGCACATGAGAGGGGGGAGGGTCGGGAGGGTCAGAGGGAGAAGCAGACTCCCTGCCGAGCAGGGAGCCCGATGCGGGACTCAATCCAGGGACTCCAGGATCATGACCTAAGCCGAAGGCAGTCGCTTATCCAACTGAGCCACCTAGGCGCCCGGCAAGCCGCTCTTGAGAAGAGCAGTTAGCTTCATCAATATGCTACCTTGACTGGTTAAGAGCTTCCTGGCATGTGGCTGTCTCTTCATAGGAAAGAGAAATTAGTATTTCAAGGAACAATTCTTGTTCTTAGAGAGGAATTCTATTTTGTCCCCTAAATGAGCTACCTCTTTGTCTAGTCCTTGCTTTTTCCTTTATACTTTTCTATGTCGTCCCACTTGGAACTAAAAAAAAAAAGTACATTCATGACACTGAGGCACATGCGCCTAATCTAAAGTAGAATTTGTGGGGAGTCATATTCTCTCAAGACTGGCTTAAGATTGCCCACTAGAAGCCACACTTATAATTTTTTCCAATGTTTACTTCTAGCACGTAAGAAGGAAATCTTGGTAAATGAGGGAACAAGAACAGAGCTTCTTTTGCATTATATGTGGTGATACAGAACAGGTATATAAGGGAACTAAATGGAATGATGTGGATGGAACTAGAGGGTATTATGCTAAGTGAAATAAGTCAATCACAGAAAGAAAATTATCATATGATCTCACTGATATGTGGAATTTGAAGAAACAAGGCAGAGGATCATAGGGGAAGGGAGGGAAAAATGAAACAAGATGAAACCAGAGAGGGAGACAAACCATAAAAGACTCATCTCAGGAAACAAACTGAGAGTAGCTGGAGTGGAGGGGGGTGGGAGGGATGGGGTGGCTGGGTGATGGGACATTGGGGAGGGTATGTGCTATGGTGAGCACTGTGAATTGTGTAAAACTGATGAATCACAGACCTGTATGTACCCCTGAAACAAATAATACATTATATGTTAATAAAAAAAAAAATGGGGCACCTGGGTGGCTCAGTCGGTTAAGCGTCCGACTCTTGATTTTGGCTCAGGTCATGATCTCAGGGTTATGAGGTAGAGCTCCTGCTTAAGATTCTCTCACTCTTCCTCTGCCCTTCCCCTGAATCTCTCTTGCGCACTTTCTCTTTCAAATAAATAAAAATCTTAAAAATACATATATACAAGGGAACTAAACAAGTGTCCTATCACATCTTCAGTTCTTATAGATGGACCATCCACTAATGGAGGGTAAGAGACATACTTGAATATTTTTAGTATTTGCCTGAAAGCACTGATTTATTTATTTGAAAAATATTATTTATTTATGATTATTACATTTATTATTTCTTATATTTATAAGGAACTATGTATGGGGTAAATACAATTATATAAAGTGAGAGAAAACACAATAATTAAGATGAACTACGGGGAGGGTGAATGTAGGTCCCAATTTGCTCAGGGCCATCCCTGTCTACAGCTGTGGTCCCAACATTATCAACAGTACTCATTTTCACTTTTTTTTTAATTTTAAAGATTTTATTTATTTGACAGAAACACAGCAAGAGAGGGAACACAAGCAGGGGTAGTGGGAGAGGGAGAAGCAGGCTTCCCCGTGCAGGGAGGCACCTGGGAGGGGAGCCCAATGCGGGCTCGATCCCAGGACCCCCGGGATCATGACATGAGCCGAAGGCAGATACTCAACGACTGAGCCACCCAGGCGCCCCTCATTTTCACTCTTTAAAGTGTCCATGTTTGGACAGTAAATTATATGGCCACTCTGTTAATAGAACTATCCATGCCGCCCTTCCTAAAATCTGTGGGAATAGCACACCAGTACAAAATGAGAAACTGGGCCTCATAGGCTTTTGCAATTTCTAGCAATACACGTATCCAGACTTAGCTAGTAAATAATAAAGAAAACTCTTAGGTTAGGGCAAAATATCCTATCCTAGTTTAGGAGTCTAGATCCACATCTAAAACAGGAGATAGCCCGTGAGAATGTGAGTAGGTGACACAGGACAGATCAGGAACAGGCTCAACTCCTGGCACTCTTAAATATTTGCTGCACTGACATTATCAACTCTACACATTCTGATTATACCAGGGGAAAAAAAAAATCAGCTGCTACCACAGCCTAGGTCATAAAAAATGGCAAAACAACCCTAAAATAAAAGACAATACATCATAATCTTGCCAACAAAAGTCTGCCTACACTGTCCCACAAATGTTTCAACAATGTCCTACAAATAAAAGAGCAGCTTTTCCTTTGCCTATTTTTTTTTTTTTTTAAGATTTTATTTATTTGACAGCGAGAGAGGGAACACGAGCAGGGGGAGTGGGAAAGGGAGAAGCAGGCTGCCCACTGAGCAGGGAGCCCAATGTGGGGCTCAGTCCCAGGACTCTGGGATCATGTCCTGAGCTGAAAGCAGACGCTTAACGGACTGAGCCACCCAGCCGCCCCTCCTTTGCATATTCTTTTCAAAGTCTTTCTCCTCAAAAGCCTTCAGTGGTTGCCTAAAAAGATTTTGGTTGAACTTGCACTATTCTAGATGAAAAAAATTCCAACTGGCTTTATTTTTTTTAAATCATCATTTTCATTTACTGAATCCCTGTAAGAATTCTAAGCACACACACAAAAAAGTACAGACATATACTTCAATAAAATACACTCTTGGCAGTCAACTACGAATCAATCATGCTACAGAAATTGAATAAAATCTTTATAATTTGGCCTTACTAATTTTGATTCATTAAATCAGAATCATGATAAATACAGTACTTTCTTCAAGCCAAATTTAGATGTACTTCAAAGTAACTTTACAAATTTTAGGGTTTTACAATAAAGCTACATTTTGTTTAGAATGATTCAGAACTAAAGACTCAAGAAATTAAAGATTCTTTCAAAACATTCTTGATTTCTAAGTACAGCAATTTTTGTATGTTATAGGCCTCATGTTAGGATATTATACACTGTAGTCTTTTGTACATTTACAATACATTTTAATTTATAGTAACTTTCCTCAGGTTACTACCATAAGCTTATATCGTTTATAAACTGTTTAATAATTCATGTATTTTTTTACTATGACAAGTACCCACTATATATCAGGCACCATACTAAGACTTTACCCCCCCAGACCAGAGGTTCTCAATCAGAAACAATTTTGTTCCTCAGGGAACACCTGGCAATGTTAACAGACATTTTTCGTTGTCAAAACTAGAAGCATCTAATTGGTAGAGGCCAAGAATGCTGCTAAACATCCTGCAATGCACAAGGCAGCCCCTCACAATCAAGAATTATCTGACCCAATTGTCCATAGTGTTGCTGTTAAGAAACCCTAACTCTAGCTATTTGTCATCTGTGTTACTAAGACAGTGGCAACAGCAGCTGTTGTTAAACGTTTAGGTATTTCCACAGTGAAAAATCTCATAGTTTTGTACGGGAGAAGAAAGGAAGGAAAAGACAGGCCTCTTTACATTTGATGTACAGTTTAAATGTTATTTTTTTATCTTTTTTTAAAGATTTTATTTATTTATTTGAGAGAGTGAGAAAGAGAGAGCACATGAGAGGGGGGAGGGTCAGAGGGAGAAGCAGACTCTCTGCTGAGCAGGGAGCCCGATGCGGGACTCGATCCTGGGACTCCAGGATCATGACCTGAGCCGAAGGCAGTTGCTTAACCAACTGAGCCACTCAGGCGCCCTAAACGTTATTTTTTTAAACTGGGGGTTGACTTCTAGGAATAACATGAAATGCTAACATTTCCCCAACCTACATGATAAGAAATGTTAATATTTCTAGAGTAAAACAATCATACCTTTTTAACTGCTATAATATACCCTTCTTCTTGAAACATTTTGAAAAATTCACACATGAACGTCTCTTTGAAACTTGACTAGGAAAAAAAAAAATCACACAGAATTTATATATGTTAAATATTAGAGAACTAAGAATATAATGAACTGCATTTCTAAGCTGAGGATTAAGGCCTTAAAGGATTCAATCATATATTTCCAGAGAGTTATAGGATTTGGAGTGGGATTTCTTTCAACAACTGTTAGATGATTATGGCACAAACAGATTCATAGAAGGTTCTTGCATCTGTTCACTAGACTCTCTCCTCTGCTTAGACATATTAGTTTATTTTTTTTTTTTACAAATTTAAACATTTACTAATTCACTTAAAAATAATAATACATGTTAATGTAAATTACATTTTAAAATGAAAAGCAACTATATCTTCCAAAACAAAAAAATTAGAAGATTGACTATATTTTTTTGCAAATGTCTTTAATTAGATATATTAGTTTAAATAAAACTTTGTTAACAGGTGACGAAGACACAACGGCTATCTAAAAGATGGCTACTGCATCTGTATATGCATATTTTTGGTTATGCTTTGTTTTTAATTTGGAAGGGAATAAGTGAGAGAGAAGGGATCATAAGGTATAACAAGATTTAGAAGTGTGAATACAAAGCAAAAGATATAAAGACTTACCTTGCTTTTGGACAGACTCCCCCAGCTTCCCAAAGTTTGAATGGTTTTTGAGATGAGGGTTAATGTTCTAATTGTCTGTGGATCCTAAAGAATGTAAAAAAGACACAAAACTCCTGTTAAGTTTTTAAGAAACAGAATTTGTGTTAAGAGGTAGAATAGAGTGAACAGGCTATCAGTGCTTTAATGCAGGGATTCAAAAATGTTCATTCAAACGACTGGTGTCATTAAACTCTAGTTTACAATGGGCACAACTCACTAGACTAAGGAATTAAGAGACTAAAGAAGCCAGATGTCATTTATAATTCCTCCCAAAGTAATTGTATTCAATAATTTGTTACTTCTGAAAGCCATACTTTAATTAATGCTATATATGTTGTTTTGTACAGTACGGCAGCTTGAATTACCTAACAAATTGTATTCACTTTTGAAATGTCAATCACATCTACTTTTTCTACCTTGTAACTTAAAACCGCAGTTTCTAGATTTTCTGTACTCAACCCAATTCAATAACTGATACAGCTTGTACAATCAATCATTTTCATCATGGAAGCGAAAACCTAACTAAACTTTAGAAATGAGAAGTTATCCGGTTCATGTAGGATCTTAGCAGAAGGTAACTATTTGGGTCTGTTATCCAAGGTATTTTTCAGGCCTGCCTACCAGAAAAACTAAATATAAATAAAATGGATTAAACAATTCCCCCGATGAGTCCTTGCTCCCTCCTCCCTTTTTTAAATTGAGGTATAATTTACATACAGTGAATTGAACAGATTTTAAATGTACATAACCCATTGAGTTTCCACCAATCCATATTATCTGTATAATCTATTCTCCTATCACATATAGAATTTCTTTATTTTGGAGATTCAAATAAACAATATCTTCCACCAAAACACAGACTTAAGAAAACTTAGATACAGAAATTGCTTTAGTTTAGTTTTTGGTTACATTCTTAGTATCCCCACATTGAAAATGACAGTGAATGTGAAGGAGAAGAAACGACCAGGATGTAAGGCAATCTGGAAAAAAAGGAATATCTGGGATATAGTCATTATGATATATTTATGAAATAGTTACACACCTTAATTAAGGTTATTCAGAAATATTTTATCTAGAACATCCAGGATTCCATCATATGTATAAAAGGTCCCTACAATTCCCTGCCTTTGAAGAATGTAAGATTCTTAACAATGGCTAATAAACTGAATTTGAACTGAATTTCACCAAGACTTCCCTGTTCAAATGTGGTTTTAAAATCACTGTTTTAATTTTTATTTATTTTTATTTTTTTATTTTTTTTTAAGATTTTATTTATTTGCGAGAGAGAGAATGAGAGACAGAGAGCATGAGAGGGAGGAGGGTCAGAGGGAGAAGCAGGCTCCCTGCTGAGCAGGGAGCCTGACGTGGGACTCGATCCCGGGACTCCGGGATCATGACCTGAGCCGAAGGCAGTCGCTTAACCAACTGAGCCACCCAGGTGCCCCTAAAATCACTGTTTTAGGTTATGATTTCCCTGAACTAAAAAAAAAAGAGCAACGCATATTTATACAATTTCTGCATATCAGATATTTGTTTACATCAACATGACCCTCACTACTATGTGACAATCATATCATTTAGCTACTACTGATTCCCTGGTGTACTCTACATACAAGCGGTTCTAAATTATTCCCCTGCTACCATCTGCCATCGTAGGTTTTTATGCATGTCCAGTATCTTAGACATCTGGTACCTAGCACACAGCCTGGCAGAGGCATCTAGTAGATGCCTTATAACATTTATTAAATTCAACTGAAATGTTGAATCTCTCACCTCAAAACAACATATCTTTTTCTTTTTTCCTTATATTAGGTTGAACCATAGGAAATTACTATTATTTGACTATTTTTGATCTACAAAACACAAAACAACTTCATACGGTTTCCCATACCTCAAAGGAGGAATTACTCTTTTCCTAAGGTTTACACCCATCATTTTTTCTTTTCAAGACAATCTGAATCCTCCAGGATACTGACCTGGTTATTAGCAAGCCCTCTTCTCTCTTCACTTTTCTCCTTTTCTGCTGGTTTCTTCTCCTCTGTTTAAACCACATACAGATTTTCCCATTTTGGAGAAGACTCATCATTTAACCAGCTCCCTCTCTGAGCTACTATCTTTCCCTTACCAAACATTATCCAAGTGTCTACTTGTCTGTGTATGTACTCAGGATACACAAACTTGAAAAAGATCCAACCCTTGCTCTTAGGTATTGACAGTCCACATTCAGAGACTGTAAACAGATGATTATTAAACAGTATGACAAACGTCAAGACAGAGAGAGCCACAGGATGCTACAGGTATACGTAAGAGAGGAACCAAACTCAGACTAGACAGAGAAGTCTGCCTTGGCTGAGTCTTGAAAGGAGCTATCATATTTAAAAATTAGCATTTAAAAAAAATTACTCATTCATGTGTGTATGTACACACATGTACATGTTTGATTTTGCCTATGTCTTTTACTAGCCACAGGGCAAGCTCAATTTTGATATATTTCCTGGGTAAAAACTACATTTACCTATTTATTTTTTAATCTTCTGAAATCCAATTTTTTTTGTATTCTACTAAAACTGGTTTCTCAAACTTCGAAGAACTTCTAAATGTGAAATCCAACCATTAATTGATTCTCCTCCCAAACCACTCTTACTTTCAATACTGGTCTTGACAATCCCATCACTCCCAGGTTCCTGGGATTACTTCTTGCTCTTAACTTCCATAGTATGCATTAACTTGGTAAAAACCAGGTACTCGTTTTAGATGATGTATCTTACATATTTGTCCTATTTTCCCAATTAGAATGAAAAGTTCTTAAAAAGAGGGGGTAAGTTTACACTTAAAAGCGAACAATAAAGTTATATGATTATATGACACAGTACGGACCAGTCCTTCTAGCATACTGATTGGAAAAGTGAAGTAAAATACAAAGTCTGTGGCTAGAAGGACTTTATTGCAACATCTGTTATAGAAATATGCAAAGCCAGGCCTGAATACAAGGCAGGGCCCCAAGCTCCGAGGCAGGAGTTCTGTTTATATCCAGAATGCTGCTACTAAGCTTTTTCAGACCCAGAATTCTGCACAGCTTCAGGAACACAGCCACAAGAAAGGACAATCCTGTGATCAAAAGGACACTGGCCCGCTCTCTGCTGCAGCTATTCACAGACTCTTTGTCCTTTGGCAAGAAAGGGTGTGTCGCTGCAACAGTAGCATGGCTCTGTTCAGCTGCCAAAGTGAAATGAGTGGGCAACGTCAGGCAGCTGTGAAGAGGAGTGGCCTTCAAAGCCCAGGTTTAACTCTAAAACTCATGTGTCTTCTCTACCCCGTGTAAGTTTCTGAAGGGCAGAGAGTGTCTTCCTCATCACTGCATCTCTAGCACTGAGCACAGTGATGCAAACACCACAGGTGTTTGAACACCTCACTGCCTAAGAGGCAGGAAAGAAGAGGGGTGAGCTCAAAGATTGGGAAGACTGAAGGAGACAGCATTCCAGTTTAACCAGTTCCAACTGAGTGAGATCAAATCATATTTGATCAGTTGTGTGACCATGGAGAAATTGCTGAATTGTGATATTCTTATCTGCAAATGGGGATGATAACAGGATTTACTTTACAGGGAGGACCAAGTAAGTTAAAACACAAAGTACTTAGAACAAGGCCTACTACAAAGTCCTAAGTATATGTTGGCTATTATTATTATGTGTTATACCAATCAGCAATGAAAGCAATTAGAGAAGATTATAAAATATCTGGAACATAAAAGGTTAAAGAATCAGCAAATATACTCCACATGAGAAGGAAAGAAAAAGCAAAAATAAGGAGTTTTAAAATGTTAAGAAACATGTATATCTATGCAGTACAGATTCAGATATAAATTAAACAGGACTTCAGAACATCTTTAAAGTTTTAAATCTCATAGATTTGTAGTATCAGGTGAATAAAAAGTAAAAAATGTGGAGATACCAAACAAATTATGTTCCAATCAAAGTTTCTACACCTTTCAGAAATGAGCCTCTTCAAATTTCTGTGAGATTTAAAAATACCTGCAAGATTAAACTAAACCTGTAACTCATGAAAAAACAAAAACAAAAACAACCCTATGGAAATTTACAAACACACACAATAGTGGAGGGTAAATATAATGGATCCTCTTTGTACCTATCATCAAGCTTCAACAACTATCAACATTTTATTACTCTTGCACAGTATCTGTTAACAGCAACAAAAATTGGAATTTTCAGCCTTCTCTGAAAGACTGAAATGGCCAAGGAAAATGTCCAGTAAATTTAAGTACCAGTTATAAGAAAACAGTCAAGTGAAACTGGCTTGTTATTTTATCTTTTTTAAATTTCAGTAAAAATAAGTAAACATGGAATAAAGCTTTGAGAAGAACAACACTTACTGGATGATGAGGTCGCAAATGAAAAGTATGAGGTGATACTACGGCTACAGCAAAGAAACGAAGAAATACAAAGCTGCTCACTGCAGAATACTGAACATGAGGGTCATCTGCAGGAAAAAAATGGTGAAATGTCATGCACAAAAACACTGAATCAAAAGATGACAAAATAAAAAGATATTGAAAAAACATGTAAACTTAACAGGAGATCAATATAATTTGTCTAGTTGGGGGGGGACTGAGTTGATGAATGATAGTAATGATTATGACTAAATTAAAGGAAAAATCTATGACTAAAAAAATCTCAAAGGAATAATATAAAAATTTAAATAAAGAAAGGCAAAGCTACCAGGTTTTCAGGAATACTTTAATTTGGAAAAAGACCTCTTTCCTCATCTGCAAGAAAGACTTCTGAAATTGCAACAAAAATAAAAGTAGTATCTAGCACCACCTAGTGGTAATACTGAATCCTTTAAGACTAGGATAGATTATTTTCAGTTTTAAAATATTGTTTCAATTTTCCCCTCAAAAGTCTTGATAATATCAAAGACAATGCAATAAAAACAACGGGTAGGTATCTTTCTTTTAAAAAAGCAATCAATATGCCATATAAAAATGAAGATGAACTGAAGACAACTTGCGGTTTTTGTCATTCACCTACAGCTTTTGTTTCAAACTGGAGTCAATACCTAACCCAACAGTCATGACAGGGAAGCAGGTAGTGAGGGGAAAAAGTCTGGATTTGGTTTGAGTTTAAACTCTTATAAGCCACTCAACAGGTAGTCATGGGCAAGTCATTTAACTTGTAGTTCTTCAATAATACTTGCTGCTGCCCACTCACTCTCTCCTCCCTACTCTCTACTCATCTTCCCAGGGTAACAGAAGAACAAATGAGAAAATACGAAAATATTTTATGACAACAAAACTATCACTACTGTAGTCTACTGAGGATATGAAAACATATTAATATTTAAGCCAACAAAAAAAGGTGACACATTTGCATTTATATAAAGCCGTATGTTTCAGATAATTTCTATAAACAGAATTAAACCTATTTTTTAAAGCCAAGTTCACTGGGTAGTACAGAGTATAATGACTAGCAATATGCTTTGGAATAGGCCAAGCCCAGGCTGGAGACCCTTCTTGTCTGCTGGCCATGTCTTGGACCTTGAGCGAGTTATATAACGTTTCTAAACCTCAGTTTCATTATTTACCTAAGGGGAGCAGTACGTCATGCCTCATGTGGTGGTGTGAGCATGAGAGTAGGAGGAGTAGGAGATAATGCAGGCTAGCACCGTGTGTTCACTCACTAAATACTCAATGTGCCTGTCATGATTTAACTATTTAAAAATATAATTTCAGTGAGTAGTTCTTCTTGCCATATGTTAATGTCTCTGCTCCCTTTACTTGTGCTGTAAAGACTAGATTTAGTATACTTATTTGAAGTTGATTGTTTATGTCTTTAGTAGAATTAGCAAAGGCATCTGCGCCTGAATTTATACACATTAGTTAGACAACTCAGCCCTACGACTTTAGCACTGGGTAAATTTAGTGGAGGGGCAGATAAATGCACACACCATGCGTGCGTGTGCACGTACACACACACACACACACAAGAACAAGATAAAATAGCAACATTTCTTCAGATGGTTACAGAAGTCTCACTTAAGAGTCTCACACAGCTGGGTAAGATCAATAATTTAAGTAGCCACCTTACCTCCTCCCTCTTCCCCCTATTACAATAAACAGATCTGGAAAGACAGCTATAGCAAGTTTATTTACTTATCAGAGATGCATATAATTAGAATAATTCTAAATATTGACAATCAGAGATAGCAACTCTTATTTTTATGATATGTTTCTAAACAAAGCCCTGACATAGCTATTCTACCAAATTAAAGCATGTATTGACTGATATATGTACCTCAAAATTCTACGTCTGTTGCAACAGAGATGTTTCTAATGTCTCAAACCCATTTCTGTAAAAATGTCCCACCACCAAAACCTTAGCATTCTCAAACTGTCAAATCTAGTCAGTTGTATTGAACTAAAAATTCTCATTATTTAAATGCAATAAATAAATAAATAAATGCATGAAGTGAAAAAGGTACAAATAACAAAGGCGTTTTTGTTTATTACATTTAACAATCTCCTAAGTACCGAGTATAAATGTTTATTTATGTTACAGTTCTAAATGTTTGCCTTTCTTAAAAATAATTTTTGATTTGCTCTTTGTAATAAGTTGTCATTATATGGAAATAAACAATACGTTTTGAGATTGTAAGGAAATTAAACTAGATGTTTCATAAAAAAGCTGTAATTATTTTGCAAAGACTGTACCTATAAACCTTAAACATTTCACATAAGCCAAATCCACAGTAAATCTATTAAAAAAAATCAAATACAGAAAAAGAAATGGCATGTTTTAGTAAAACAAGGCACTTACTAGGAAATCTTTGAGTAGCCATTTGCCTTAGAGAATAAAAGGTATCACACATTACAGTGGGGCAGCTCATACTTGATTTTACAATTGTACTGAATAACTTGTCTACATAGTAGCGTAGATTCTCCTGTAGAATTTAACAAGGTAAACATCAGGATTTTAACTTTTACACATTTTCCATAGTCTTTATGGAAAACAATGCAGTGAAAATGAGATTAGGCAGTTACTATCTAGTATACTGAAGCTCTGCTTCCCTTCTCTAAACTCACTCAGTTAAAGGACAATTTACATCTTGACCTCATTTAACAAATTTGATTGAGATTAGCTAAATATAACTGGTGAATGTATGGAATAAACTTCACAAGAAGCAACAGAGAATAAAATCATCCAAAGGGAAATCAGGGAAATAACTCGGACATGCAGGCACACGGACACTGTGGCAATTTTATTTAGTGCAATGAAAACCTGTGACTCTAACATAATCACTGTTTTCCCAGAGACAACTAAAATGTTGGTTGACCAAGTCATTGTGCCACTTAGCCTGGTCAGTCTGACCCCAAAGGGTCTAGACTGCAACCAGATACAGCCTTATTCCACTATTGTTACTAGAGCCAAAGAGAGATAATCAGGAACAAAAATAAAGTGAAACCCCATGACAAAGTAACATTCTAAAAACTAGACACAGGAACTACTAATAGTGTGGGCATTAAGTAAAGAATAAAAAGCACTACATCCTTCCACATAGCATTATGGAAGATTATGTTTGGGAGAAGGCCCATTTTAATGCAATTATAAAGATAACAAGGACTTACCTTATTATTTTCTACATTATCTCCCTCTTTCAATTTAATAGGATCGATTTCACATGATTTTGAGGATTCACATATCTGGAAGATAGATTAATTTTTCATTTAATTTGCTTTTCTAAATAATTTGGCAAAATGAAAATAACTATTATTTTTCTGATAATACAATTATAAAAATTAAAACCATAACATTTATAACCCCCATCCATAGATAATGTATTGCAAAAGAACTGTCAAAATTCATTTCTAATATATTTGAAACTCTAACTAAAACCGAAATCTAGTAACAACAACAACAACAAAAAGAAAGAAATCCAGTAACAACAACAACAAAAAATCATGTAGATTATACTCAATGTGCCCTTCAAGTAACAATCCACTGATGGAAAGGTACTTCTGAAGGGCTCAGCCTTATTCTTTCAGTAGTACATGAATGGGTGTATGATCCCTGTCACTAGGTCACTTGATGAAAGAGAGGCCACAGAGACTTCAATTATCAGAGGTATAGCCCATACCTCATCTAGAATAGGTTTTAATGTGACTTTCAGGTAGTGCCCTCCCACTATTTTCATCATCTCATCCAGACATCGGGTAGCCAAAGAATTTCCTCTAAAAATTGTGTTTGCATCTCTGCAATACAAACAGAAATAAGGTGAAACCAAGAGCAGTAAACAAATGCTGTGAAATCAATAGCATGAGATATAAGACTTTGGCTATATATACAATTTTAGTAATTTTTACCATCCACTTAAAAAGCTTGCTGCCATGACATGAACAGACATTCCCCAAAGAAGACATACATATGGCCAAGAGACACATGAAAAAGTGCTCAACATCACTTGGTATCAGGGAAATACAAATCAAAACCACAACGAGATACCACCTCACACCACTGAGAATGGCTCAAATTAACAAGTCAAGAAACGAAAGATGTTGGTAAGGATGCGGAGAAAGGGGAATCCTCTTACACCGTTGGTGGGAATGCAAGCTGGTGCAGTCACTCTGGAAAACAGTATGGAGGTTCCTCAAAAAGTTAAAAATACAGCTACCCTATGACCCAGCAATTATACTACTGGGTATTTACTCCAAAGATACAAATGTAGTGAAAAGAAGGGGCACATGCACCCTGATGTTTATAGCAGCAATGTCCACAACAGCCAAACTATGGAAAGAGCCCAGATGTCCATCGACAGATGAATGGATAAAGATGTGGTATATACATGTACAATGGAATACTACTCAGTCATCAGAAGGAATGAAATCGTGCCATTTGCAATGACGTGGATGGAACTAGAGGGTATTATGCTAAGCAAAATAAGAGAAAGACAATTATCATTATGATCTCACTCATATGTAGAATTTAGTAAACAAAACAGAGGATCATAGGGGAAGAGGGGAAAAAACGAGGCAAAATCAGAGAGGGAGACAAACCATAAGAGACTCTTTTTTTTTTTTAATTTTTTTTTTTTTTAAGATTTTATTTATTTGACACAGAGAGAGATAGCGAAAGCAGGAACACAAACAGGGGGAGTGGGAGAGGGAGAAGCAGGCTTCCTGCCGAGCAGGGAGCCCGATGTGGGACTTGATCCCAGGACCCTGGGATCATGACCTGAGCCGAAGGCAGATGCTTAACGACTGAGCCACCCAGGAGCCCAAACCATAAGAGACTCTTAACCATAGGAAACTAACTGAGGGTTGCTAGAGGGGAGAGGGTGGGGGGGATGGGGTAACTGGGTGATGGACATTAAGAAGGGCACAAGATGTAATGAGCACTGGGTGTTATATAAGACTGATGAATCACTGACCTCTACCTTTGAAACCAATTAACATTATATGTTAATTGAATTTAAATTTTTTAAAAAAGCTTGCTGCCATTAGGCTTTTCAAACTTACCAAAAATAGTAAGAACTTTAAAAAAAAAAAAAAAGCAAACAATATTAATGAACTACAAAAGTGGAAGGTGTGTGTATATGAGACAGTGCTATGACAGGACTGGGAAGCCACCTGACTGTTTTTCATAATGTCACACATATGTATATAGGGGTGATACATAATGGGTAAGGAGAAAAAAAACCCGACTTCTGACCTGGCATTTTATCTGTGACATGTGAATCATTGCAAGAAGCCGCCAAGATTAGTAACAGGAAATTCTGACACTGAATAAAAAAATCCTTCATTAACTGTTAATGTTGCTGTTGGTGGATACCGTTTGCTAACTTAAAGAACTGCCTCTTATTTCTTGCTAAGTGTTCTTTTCAGACTCCTATCCAGTAAGGCTGGTCAATACAAAAGAAGTGAAATTACAAAAACAATTTGGCAAACTAAAATCCAATTTCAACACATGTAATTAACATTTTCATATAACTCTTACTGTGTATCCTTCAAGTCTAATTCAGCCACTGCAGTGGCAAAAGGAACAAGTTTATCATGGTGCAGCAGCAGTCGTACAAGGGGCAAAACAGCATCATTTTTATCTCGACAAATTTCACCCAAAATGTAAGCAGCTGAGGCAGATATCGGCTAGAATATAAAAAGGCAGAAAACAAGCACAAAATCAAGGAAACACGACTAAATGCTCCATCACTAGCCTGTATAAGTAATTCAAGCGTATTTATTATTACTGTTGTATAGAATAATATTTAATTTTCTAAAACTTTTCTCAGAGATGAAATTTCAAGCATGTCCTGGAATCACAGTACTGTGGTTCAGATAAATTGAATATATATATGTATATATATTGACTATTTTAATAAAACTTGATACTCTGAAATCTTTTCCACATCACTTACAGAATTATTTTAGCCATTTCACATTAAGTCTCACCCTTAAGATTTTTAAAGTACCTGAACATCTGGTGATTTTAGCAGCAATGTTTTCAAAGGACCATAGTACTCTGAAGGAAGCACATAGTCTTCTGTATAACATATATTTAATCGAAGAGACCCCAGATCATCAGTTTTAGATGACTTGTTTCCATTGTCTCTTGGTTGTAGCAAGTACCTAAAGTAAAAATACAATTGAATTCATGAGACGATAATGAGCATCGAAGTCAGTGAGGTAAATAAACAGCTAAGCTGTAAAAAAACAAACAAACAAGCAAAAAACACCAAACCAGAAAAGTCAACTTAGTATCTGAGGTTAGGACACTTTATAAGTAGCCAACTATCAATCTTCAGAGCCTTAACATTGGTTGTATATTGAATAGAAAGCTATAAACAGATTTTTACCCGGGAAACAAAAAGTACAGGTAATACAAAACTTAAGATCTCAAAGGGGCTGAATGAGTTTGATTAGCTTGTAGATTTAGGAAAAGATAATAAAAAGTAAAACATTTAAAATCCAATGTATAATCAAAAATAACATCTAACTAAACTTAAGACATATTTAGCTGAAATAGATAAGACATAATTTGTAAAAATCTGAACTTATTTTTTTAAAAAGTTAGTGACTGAAGGTTTATAGATTTTTTTATTATTAAAGGAGAAACAATGTAACTACACTGAAAATATTTTTATTTGCAGAAATCAGATTTACATGAATTTTTTTTATTTAGGCAAGTAGAAGGCAAAAAATATATATGTACAAAGATAGCTTTAAAATTTTCCAAGAGAAGAGAAATGTTTAGAAATCAAGAGGAGTTTGTTGGACCAAAATCAGAAATCTAATAGTTATTTTTAAAGACTTTTTATCATGGAAATTTAATAACACATAACACATGTAAAGAGGACAGTATATCTATTGAATCCCCAAGCGCCTATCACCTAGCTTTAGTAATCATCAACTCGAGGCTATTCTTGTTTCAGCCATACCTCTACTCACTCCTCCCATCCCATTCCTGCATTATCTTAAAGCAATTTCCAGGCGTCTTATAATTTTATCTATAAATATTTCAATATATATAACTATATATAACTTTAAAAAATCATTATTATCCAGTTTGTGTTCAAACTCTCCCAAACTTTATCATGAACACTTTTCTACAATTTGTTCATATCCAAGGTCCATAGATTACTTAAGTTTCTTTTAACCTATAGATTCCCTATACCCCCTAAGAAATCTGGTAGTTAGAGTAGGATTTTCCACAATTAGGGATTACGCTAAATCTATCTCCATGACGTCACTTAACATGTTCTTTGTCCTCTCTGTACTTCCTGTATACTGGCAGTTAGATCTAGAGGCTTCGTTAGATTCAGATTTGATATGCTGGCAAGAACATTTCACTGATAGTGTGTAGTTCCACAAAGAGGCACTAATGTCTGTTTCTCTCTTTGTGATATTAGCAGTCACTGATGAGCACTGCCTAGAGTCATTAACTTTCAGAGATTATAAAATGATAGTTTTATTTTTTTATTTTTTAAAGATTTTATTTATTTATCTTTGTCAGAAAGAGAGAGCACAAGCAGGGGGAGCGGCAGGCAGAGGGAGAAGCAGGCTTCCTGCTGAGCAGGGAGCCCGATGTGGGACTCAATCCCAGGACCCTGGGATCATGACCTGAGCCAAAGGCAGACGCTCAACGGACGCCACCCAGGCGTCCCAAAATGAGAGTTTTAGAATTCTATCATTCCTCCTTTACTTACTACCTGGAATACTTTTTATAAAGTAGTGTCATTAGTTTTGATTCTTACTTTTGATATTTATCACCTATGGCCTCCCCATTACACTAACTTGTTTAAAAACAGAAGGTAGGGAGGGTTTAATAGAATATTTATTAGTTTTGAGAAAGACAGAATTAAAGACATAAAAGGGAACTAGAGAATCAACCAAGCAAAATTTAAAAGATGAGAGGATGACAATAAAGGGAGAAGAAATTATATAGAAATTATATCACTATCTACGAAAGAGGAATCTCTATTTTGAAACACCAGCCTTCAGAATTTCTATTCTCTGATTTGAGAAATAATGTTTTAAAGATTTGCCTGAGGAAATAACTGCATATAAGCCTATTAGCAAAGGTGACCCAGAAGTACCTCTAAGGGAAAAGTCTAGTTGGCTGATCACCAAACATCCTAAAAGGACATTACTTTGGTCAAGTTCCACAATCTACTTATTTTTTAAGTATATATGTTTTGTAGACCTGCAAATTCAGATACCTAGTTTTATCTAAAAGTAAACCTGAACTGCAATCACTGAGCATAGAGACTGGTATATTTAAAGTAGAAAGCTAATTTCTAAATTTATGAAAAGAAATAACAACAGTCAAGCAGTAAAAATACCTGCACATTTTTCTGTGACCAATACATTTTATTATGCAAGCAATAAGGTAGGGCAAAGAGTGGTTATATTAATAATGAATACCCTCAACTCACTACCTCCCCCACGCACTTACCACTCGGCTTCAACAACTATCACTGTTTCCCATGGTGCTTCATCTATATTCCTCACTGCAACTAATACTTTTTTTTACCTGTTAATACTTTTTAATCTGTTTGATTAATACATTTTTTACCTACTGATAAACTATTTGGAGAGCCATATTATCAGAGGGACTATGGTGAGTACAGAGATACAACACAGAGACTGAGGTAGTCTTAAGAATTCCCAGCTAAGATAACAGTTTTGCCAAGGAAATAGTAATGCTTCTGGAGCAGAATCTCCTTCTTTCTTGATTGTATTTAAATGGGTAGTACCTACCCACGTTTGCCTCTTTGGGATCCTTTCTTATTATTCTAATATTCCCTTCCATTTTAACTAGTGTTTTCCATATATGGGATATAAAAATAAAATAAAAATACTTGTATTATAGTTACAACTTGGTTTTGCCTCCCTAAGATTGCACTTACCCATCTTAAATCTTAAACAATATACCCATATTCTAGTCAGATTTACAGACTCTGTTTTGGTTTGTTCTATAGGAATTTTACTCAGAAGGCAACTTTAATTCCTTTATCTCCAAATTACTGGAGGAAGGAGTACGCCTTGTCCCTCTGTTACTCTCACAAAACTACAAAATACCAGCAAAACAGATCCATATAATCCTAACATGGCCTGTTCTGTGCAGAGGGATTAGGGCAATGCTACGCCAGTTACTAATTATTATGTATGCACTCCTTTAGAATGCCCAGGTACCCCAGAAGGGCTCACTCCTGCCTCATTTTTTTAAGCTTGTTTCCTTGGGTTTCTTTTGGAAGGGTAAGAAATCCTTCTGGGCACAGTATCTCATCTGTGTCTACTTGAAAAAACATAAAATTTCAAAATACCCTCAACTCACCACCTACCCCATGCCCCTTCAATTTTTTTTTTAAAGATTTTATTTATTTGTTAGAGAGAGAGTGCACACAAGCAGGGGGGAGCTGCAGGCAGAGAGAAGCAGGCTCCCTGCTGAGCAAAGAGCCCAATGTGGGGCTTGATCTCAGCACCCTGGGATCATGGCCTGAGCCGAAGGTAGCCGCTTAACCAACTGAGCCACCCAGGCGCTCCCCCTTCAATTTTTTAAACAATATTTTATAAAGCAAGGGGCATTCAAATCTTTGGTTTCAGCTTAAAACAGAGAATATTTTTGAGGGTTTTTAAAAAACATTTTTAATTTATTTGAGAATGAGAGCACGTGTGCACGAGTGGTGGGGGAGGGGCAAAGGGACAGGGAGAGAGAATCTTAAGCAGACTCCACACTGAGCACAGAATCCGACATGGGGATCAATCTCACAACCCTGAGGATCATGACCTGAGCCAAAATCAAGAGTTGGACCCTTAACTGACTGAGCCACCCAGGCACCCCAAATATTTCTGAGTTTTAAACATATTCAAAAATATTTATGGGGTAGCTGGATGGCTCAGTTGGTTAAGCGTCTGCCTCTGGCTCAAATCATGATCCCAGGGTCCTGGGATTGAGCCCCGAATTGGGCTCCCTGCTCAGCAGGGAGTCTGCTTCTCTCTCTGTGTCCCTTTCCCCCACTTGTGCTCTGTCTCTCTAGATAAGTAAATAAAATCTTTAAAAAATATACGCCAAGGTACAATTTATTATAGTAATTGGTTAAGAGCATAAACTTTGGAGTCAGAATATTTGGTCCAAATCTCAGCTGTGTGACCTTGGGCAAACTGCTCAATCTCTCTGCACTTGTTTCCTTATTATTACTCTAAATAAGGGGTAATAATAGAATCTAACTGATTTAATCCTTACAACAACTCTAAGGAGGTTATATAAGTAAAGCACTTAGAATAGTGCCTGGTACACAGTAAACATTACGCAGCAGTTATTTATGTAAGATTTATATATAATTATGTTACCACTTAAATATACAAATAACTAGGGCGCCTGGGTGGCTCAGATGGTTAAGCGTCTGCCTTCGGCTCAGGTCATGATCTCAGGGTCCTGGGATCGAGTCCCGCATCGGGCTCCCTGCTCCTTGGGAGCCTGCTTCTCCCTCTGCCTCTCTCTCTCTCTCTCTCTCTGTCTCTCATGAATAAATAAATAAAAAAAAAAAAAGAAAAAAAAATAAATATACAAATAACTATAGATAAATGTACTTATTAATGTAACTACATAAATGTGATTTATTTTTTTTTTTAATTTTATTTACTTATTTGACAGAGAGAGGGAGAGAGGGAACACAAGCAGGGGGAGTGGGAGAGGGAGAAGCAGGCTTTCCATTGAGCAGAGAGCCTGATGTGGGGCTCGATCCCAGGACCCTGGGATCATGACCTGAGCCGAAGGCAGTCGCTTAACCAACTAAGCCACCCAGGCGCCCCTCTATTGTCTTTTCTTAATGTCCATTTTTACATGTTGGATCATTTAGGGGGAAATTGTTGTGCCAATTTGTACAATCACACAAAGGTTTTGCACACATTAAGACACTGACATTACAGGAACTGGTGAAATGAGATTAAACTTAGGCTGCCTCTGAGGTTCTCTTTCTAATTTTCCAAACAATAGAATACTGGTATGACAAAAAAGGATGCAGAAATTCCATAGGTATTGCTCTGGAGGAATGGTGATGACAGCAGCAATCACCATAATGATGACAGCATGAGCTATATACCCATAGTTATTGCACTTGCAGCTTGTTTCATTTATGAGGATGAATGCATTTCGTCCTCTAACAACTCTGGGAAGCAGGTACTCTTTGTACTGTCCCTATTTTATAGCCAGTGAGTGGAGTAACCTGTCCAAGGTCACACAGGAAGTTATGGCAGAGGTTAAGATTTGAACCAAGGCAATTTGGTTCCAGAGCCCATACTCTTAACCACTGCCAAGGTTCTACAAATATTTACCGAAGTTCTACTACACTGGTTAAGTGAGAAAAGCAAGGTGCAGATCAGGATACAGTATGTGCCCATTTGTGTAAAGAAGGGAAAAGAAGAATACATACATATTTGACTATATTCCATAAAATATTTCCAGAAACTCAAAACAGTGACTGCCTCAGAAGAGGGGAAATGATTAGCTAAGGGACTGGGGCAAGATACAGATTTGTACCTTTTGAACTGTGAACGGTGTGAGTATATTACCGATTCAAAAAATCATATAAAATTCTATCATCTATAAGGTTAAAGTTAAAATGAGTTACTATCAACACTAACAAGCTCTCCTAACATCTGACAGAAGTTTCAAAATAAAGAACATATGTCATTGTTAAGGAACTGAAAAGCCAAGAAAGGAATGGGGGAATGTAATCTGAGAATAAAATTAAATTGGAACCATTAAAATCCATTTTCAGGAAAAGACTATAATAGACAAATACTAATTGGAAATTATATGAAAAAGGAAAGCAAATTCAAACTTTTCAAACAACAGGATTACATTACTGATAATCATTCTTTTTCCTACTACCAAGATTAGAAAAAATAAGCCTGAAATTCTGAAGGTAAAGAAAACTTTTCCTGCGTTTTCATGCAGTTACCATCAATCCCACAAGGGGATGCTATAGCTCTACAAATGACAAACGACCCTTAAGTTTAATTTCTGATTTAAAATGGCATTCACATTTTTATACTTCCTTATATCTATGGAAGTATAAATAAATTAGATGTTTCTATTCCATGTTGTATGAATTTTTTTAAAGATTTATTTATTTGAGAGAGGGAGAGATAGCAAGGGGGGGAGAGAGAGAGAGAGAAAGAGACAGAGAGAACAAGCAGGGAGAGGGGTAGAGGGAGAGGGAGAAGCAGGCTTCCTGATGAGCAACGAGCAGGAATTTGGGCTTCGAACCCAGGACCTTGGGACCATGACCTGAGCTGAAGGCAGATGCTTAACCAACTGCGCCACCAAGGCACCCTGCGTGCTATATAAATTTTAGAACTTACACTTTGGCTTTAAAATACTATTGGCAAAAATGATATCTATAGGAATAAACTTAATTTCTGTTTGTCAGTGTTCTTACATCCTGGCAAGGTGGACAAAGTTTGTCAGATTTGGAGGACCTGTCTGGAAACAGTCTTACTTAAAATACAAGCCGGGTGGCACATTTCAGGTTCACTTTGAGGGGTCCTGAGAGCCATAACAACTCACTTTTTAATTTTGTACGAGTGGCATGCCATACAATTTTAAAGACCTAACAAAGTGAGTGTAGAGATTTTCTTTTTCTTTAAGATTTTATTTTTTTGAGAGAGAGAGAGCTTGAAAGCATGAGCAGCAGGGAGAAGTAGAGAGAGGGAGAAGCAGACTCCCTGCTGAGCAGGGAGCCTGCCGTGGGGCTCGATCCCAGGACCCTGGGATCATGACCTGAGCCAAAGAGACACTTAACCGACTGAGCCACCCAGGTACCCCAAGAGATTTTCATTTTAAAATATATGCTATTTTACAGAAGGTGGAAGAAGACATGAGGTGGGGCGTGTGACAGATCTCAAATGTTGTTTGTCAATTTTTCAAAGTAAGCAAGCTTAATCCCCCCCAAAGGTGGATACATTTTTGAAATTATACAAAATGCCGCCAGGGAGCCTGGGTGGCTCAGTTGGTTGAGCGACTGCCTTCGGCTCAGGTCATGATCCTGGAGTCCCGGGATCGAGTCCCACATCGGGCTCCCTGCTCAGCAGGGAGTCTGCTTCTCCCTCTGACCCTCCCCCCTCTCATGTGTGCTCTCTCTCTCTCTCATTCGCTCTCTCAAATAAATAAATAAAATCTTTAAAAAAAAAAAATGCCACCAGAAAGACCAATAAATCTTAGGTCTGTATTAGCAAGAGGTAAAAATAAAATAAAAATTTTGAGAGTCTAAAAATCCGTCTACAACAGAGTTCAAAGTGAAAAATGTCTGGCAGTCAATCTGTAGAGGCAGGTTCTTTTTTTTTTTTTTTTTTTTTTTTTAAAGATTTTATTTATTTATTTGACAGAGAGAGACAATGAGAGAGGGAACACAAGCAGGCAGAGTGGGAGAGGGAGAAGCAGGCTCCCTGCTGAGCAGAGAGCCCGATGCGGGGCTCGATCCCAGGACCCTGGGATCATGACCTGAGCCGAAGGCAGACGCTTAACGACTGAGCCACCCAGGCGCCCCGTAGAGGCAGGTTCTTTTAAAGACAAATGAGATTGATGCCCACAGTAAGAAACATCTAAACAGTTTCAAACTCCTCTTCTAGACACTGAAACTGAGTTCTAAATAGCGGGCATTAGAGGTAAATGAGAAAGGCCTGTTTTTTTTTATGCTCAGTAGAAACCCAAGTCTAGCATGAGGGCTGCTGGGCAACCTACTGGAAGGCATGGATAGGCATGCTTGTAAGTGCTCTAGACAGAAAAAAATGATAGTTTCACATCTGGACCCTAGACACACTTACTTACTTACTTACTTATTTATTTATTACAAGTGGGGGTGGGAGGAGAATCTCAAGCAGACTCCCAGCTGGGCACGGAGCCCAATGTGGGGCTTGATTTCACAACCTTGAGATGATGACCTGAGTTGAAATCATGAGCTGGACGCTCAACTAATTCAGCCACCCAGGCTCCCTGACCCTAGACATTTAGAAAATAACATCAGGGCCATTCATAGTGCATTTCAGTGGGCTGTGGTAAAGGAAAATCACTGGTTAGATCCCATAAACAGCTGATTCCCTACCATAAACCCTCTGTTTTCAAATATCCACAGTTCCCATTACATTAATAAGGCTTCTGTACTGAAGATGCTGATCTGTGACCAAGCATCTTACACCTGGGCAACTCTTATGTAATGTTTTAAATGATTTTAATTTTCTCCTCAGAGTTAAGATTTCGTTTTTGAACAGAACAATATTCCTAGATAATTCAGTTCTTGTATCTCAGTACTAGAGCTTAAGTTATAAAACCACCAATGTACTTCTATTTCTGCAAAAATAAATAAACCAAATCAATAAAAGTTAATGACTTCTGGCTTATTCTACCTCAAATTTAAAAATCTGCTTATTAAAAATAAATAAATAAGTAAAAATAAAAATCTGCTTATAGTAAGCATTTATTTGCATGTACATTTTATTAAAGGAGATAACCTACTGTGGAGTTCACTAGAATGTTTGTCTTCTTACCAGGCTTGATGAAAGGAATCATTTCTTAACACGTTCACAGGAACCTTAATCTCGCCCAGGAAAATATCTTGGACCAGGTTTCCATTGTTCCACAAGTCGATCCTGAAAATTTAAAACTGGCTTTATTTTTTGCAAACAATGTTTAAGAGAACACACACCACCAGGTAGCTTCAAATCACTTTGACTGTATTATAGCATTAATTTTACATGCTTAAAAGTAAGAGATGTTAGCACTGTCATATACCTTATTAACTAAACTAAGAAAACAAAATATTGCAGGAGCTTTTATTTATAAGCACAGAATGTAACTATTTTAAATAATCTAAAAGAAAGCACTAATTTTCTTAGTTTCAAAGTCTAGGCTTTATTTTAACCTGTAGCAGTAAGAACTAGAGTTACTTTGTTGAATTTGAGAAAAGAAACCACAAGACTACAGTTTCTTTCTCAATTAGAGCCAGTTAATATGTAAAGATAGGTGATTTAGAAAAATACATTACCTGATCATTCCAAACATGTGACTAACACACCCTTTAGATGAACACACTGTTAACACCACACCTGTACATGCACTTACAGAACTTTCCCCTCCCAAACAGCATAGAGATTTAAGACCTAAATAGCACAAACTTCAAACACATGCACCTGTTGAATTATCTTACAAGACTTCTTACCTCACTGAAATTTCTGTTAGACAGCAGATATGTTAAGAAGAATAAAAAAATTATTTCTAAATTGGCTTAAATATAATTACTTCTCTATATATTCTTTGCACCCATTATGCTATGATTCAGAAATTTAAAGAGCAATTAAATTTGTGAAAATTAAAAATATAATAAAATAGGTAAAAATTAGGTCATCTTTGGTTTTAAATAAAAACACCTTGACTACTTCTGCAAGGAAAACAGATTTTGAAAAGATTATATGAATTTAAATTAGATGCATGTTCCTCTAAGTTTCATCAACTAACTTGCTAAAGAGAAATCTATTAAGCTTGGTTCACCTGTTTTCTTTCTAGGATTTTTTTTATTTGGGATTTAGGATTTTCTTTTGGCACCAAAAAAACCCAACTGTGTAAAACTCCAAGACAAATACCTAATTTCTAGCTTTTCAATGTCCTCCTCTTCTACCTGGAACTGGGACTTCCTTGTGTAACTACTGGATCTGGTTACCTGTGAACAAAAAATTTTAGTTGACAACAAATTTTTAAGTATTTTTTTCCTACATGAACTTAAAAAACTATCAAAATGTTCAACTGTGTTTATTATAAACAGAGGAAAACGCTTAGGTAATAGTTTCCCCCAAAGCTAAAGATAAAAACGGCTATGGAAGTAGCAGGGAGGAAACAATAAGGCAAGAAAAACAATCTTGCCTCCATGCCCTCCCTTATCAACTCAATCTACAGCAACATTAGGTTCTCTGACTCACATGTAATCTGTTAGTGGCTCAAAGAGTAAAAGTGTTCTATTTTGGTGAAGTTGCACGTGCTAAAAACTGTTTGAAGACTTTCCCACATTTCTCAAGATATCAATTCTATCCTTACACTTCCTTCTCACATTTTTACCAAAAATATCAAGGCTACTGGCAGGGACTTCCTCAGCTACCATCCACCTGAACATGTCCATTCTCACATAGGTCCTTCTACTTGATGAGTTTTCTCATTTCTTCTGAACAAGAGATGAGATGATCTGTCTCTTTTCCAGGACTATTCCACCCACGCATGATATACAGAAAGCATGCAGTAAGCATTTGATCTATTTTAATTACAGCTTTCATTACCAGCTTATTCATCTCACTCAAGTCTAAGAAAAATTCTACACTTAAATTATGGTCTTCCTATCTGCTTCCTTTCACAGACAAGTATCTCAAAACTGTAATCCATCCTTACAGCCGCCACTTCCTCACACCCACTCACTATAGTAACTCCTTATAATCTGGTTTCCTCACAGATCACCCTCCCCAACCTCCTTAGTCACCAAGTCTGATGGTGAGTCCTTAGTTCTTGTCTTCCTTGACCCCTCTATCAGAACAAGTGAATACAACTATACCTCCTTGCCCAGAAACACTCTTTTGAGTTTACCCAGGCACTACCCAGGCAACCTCCTGCTCTCTTCTTCCTGTGAGACCTCTTCTTCCTCAGAACCTATAAATATGGGTTTTCTCCATGGTTTTAACTTTTATTTTGCTCTAAGAGCTGGAAAGGGCTGTACAGTTTACAAAGTGCTTTCACATCCATTATCTTCTTTGTTCATCAGAATGCTGCTCTGAAGCAGGCAGGGCTAGATTTATTATCCTCATCTTGAAAATGAGGAAGTTAAAGGACAGAAATTAAGAGATGTGCTCAAAGCTGAATACCTAGTAAGTGGCAGAACTGAGCTTCCTCACTTTTCTCCTATATTGTATACCTCTATTCCCTTGGCTTTCTTGACTCTCTGGAGGCAAATCTTGAGTCCTTATCTACAGCCATCACCCATCTTAAGTTTCAGTCATGAACTGCCTATTGTAAGGTTTTCATGTCAGACCTCAAGTTCATTATGTCCCAAACTGAACCACTTCTGCTTTCCTTAACTTTTCCCTTATTCCAGATTTGAAACCATGAGGACATCTGACTCCTCCCTTTGTGTCTTTTCTTCTACAATCAATTTGTTATCCTGCCCTTTACAGCTTCTTTCTCATCTGTCACTTTCTTTTTCCATGTTACTCTCTTGGATCAGAACCACCCCCCCACACACCTTTTTTTCTTTTTTAACACCTAAACTATAAGAGTCTCTTGATCTCTGTTCTTTCTCAGCCACTGGCCCACAGATCATGGTTAATTCTTCCCAAAACACTGCACTACTCTTACCACTTCCAGGCTCAAAAACATTCAACACCTACCGTGTAAGCACACCAGCCAGGTATTCAATGCCTTTCATAGTTGGTCCTAGTCTAGCTTTTAAGCTTTGTTCCAATTATTCTCTTATAGAACCTTTCCAGTTAAATCATTATTTGCTATTCTTTGAACATAACTTTCTGCTTTTCTGTCTCTTTGTCTCTGCTCAAAATGTTCTTTCTCTCTAATACTCCTTTTCCCTCACTTAACTTGGCTGGAGCAGAACTTATCCGACCTTCCCAGCATCTACTGCATTTTGCTGCTGTGTGCATGCATGCATATGTGTGCTCTGTGTTTCTTGCTTTAGCTCGAGGACAGAGATTGAATCTTATCTTTATAATCAGCTCAACAAAGGGCTTTTTGAATAAATGTTTTAAGGCTTCATAGGTACACTTGGATATAGCAAGGTCAGGCCTTGCCTTTCAAAGGACCATCTGCTTGCTGCAAGTTGCCCCATGTTTTCTGCAGGTTGGATGTAATAGTCATTGATAAATGTGTAACAACCAAAGTCCTTAGCCAGGAAATGGAAAAGCCTCACATTGGTACCTTTTCTTTTGTTTTTCTTTCTCCCTTGCCTCCACCCCCACAATTCTTCCTACTTCAATTTGGTATTTTCTTCAACCTAAGTTTCTTTATTAAAGTACAGTAATCAGGCATGGCTAGATGTGCTCTCACTCGTCTCCACTTTGAATTATCAAGAAAAACACACACAAAAGAGGAAAAAGCACATAATGTATCTTTCTCCCAAATCTTTCCTACCTGTTAATCTCACTTGCAACATGTTCTATGGTTAGAACACAATCTTTAGAAATCAGAGGTCAACTTTTTTTTTTCTGTAGTTTTCAAATAATATGAAAAAGGATTTCTTTAACAAATGCTCCACAGTAAAGAACTCCAAAGCACTGTATTTTGGGGAAACTTCAAGGCAGCTGAAGATCTCTATGAAAATAAGCATGTGTCTGTAGAGGCAATTAGCTAAAAAGAACTTAATAATAAGGCCTTAATCATATAGTACTTTATGGTCTCAAAGCATTCTCACATTTGGGTCTCCTAAAAACTCTGTCAGGTTTGGCTAGTGTTTTCTCTTACAAAATTATCCTTTCACAAGATAAAATTAAACCTCACATTTAGTGATTTATTCCGCGTCAACTGGGACAAGAACTCCAACCAAGTGATGTCATACTTACTTTACTAGTGATTTTCAAGTACTCTGTAGAAGAGTCCAGTGGCCACTGTGTGTCAGGTGGGGGGGGGGGTGGATAAGGTGGGGGTGTGTGTGTGGAGGACAGTGTGATAATAGGGATGACTAAGGAGTAGGTGTGGCCCTAGTCCTCCCTATCCCCAAATCAGTTATAGCTCTGCCTTTATTTTTTATATACTAGGCCTCTACCACATTACATCATGGTTCCACTGCTCTTGGAATACAAATGCTTAGTTGCATTAGTTGATTAAATGATTACTGTGGCTATAGTTCAAAAAAAGAAGTAAACCAGCATTCAATATTAAATATTCAGTGTCAACATTTATATAAAATAAAAAGTTACCTCAAAATAAAAGATTTCATTAAACTGCGGATTGCTCGTTTTCTTCTTTACTTTTGTCTTCTTTTGGTCATTCCTGTTCCAATGTGGTAGAGTTTTACCTTGTAGAACTTAATAGTACACAATTATAAAACATGCTATTTCCAACCAGGGAGCCTGACCTCCCTTTAGCTGTTAAGATGACTCAGGGAAAACTATAGTTTTAAATATTACTTGGGGAAAAAACTTGAGATGTCTCTAAAGACTCAAATCAAAGAAAATACAAGTTTGTATATGTAATATATGACAAGATTGTATTTTCTCTTTATGGCTACACTAGGTCAACTATCAAGCTTATTTTATATCAGAATGGTAAAAGTAAGACAGTGAGATTCAGAGTACCTTTATCTATGCTGAAAAATACCTGAGGAACACGAAAAGCATTCTTAACTAAATTTACTTCTTGGGCTTCAGCTACAATATGGCTTTTTAAAAAACTTTTTATTTTGAAATAATTAGAGAAGGTTGCAAAGAAATGTACAGGGAAGTCCGATGCAGTCTTTCCCCAGCCTCTCCCAATTTTAACATCTTATGTGATGATAGGACACTATCAATACCAATAATGACTCTTAACAAATTCGTATGCCAAACAGTTTCCATTTGTATGTTATTAAATGATTACACTAAAGAATTTGTCTTCAACTACAGATTATAAACAAAAACAAAAAATAGCTCCACTAGGCTAAACATTTTTAACATACAGAACTAATCCCTCTGATAGCATGAATGTTAAAGGATTGAGTATCTGCTTTCAAATATAAAACCACCTATAGTAATAACAGTGCAATATTGTTTGAGCACATAGTGAGTACTAGGCATGGCACAAGGTATTTTATATACATATATAAATACATTTTTAAAAGTGACTTACTGGTGATTTTCTAAAAGATAAAAATACCTATACTGTACACCTGAAACTAATATAACACTGTATGCTGACTATCCTGGAATTAAGAAAAATTAATAAAAATAAATAATAAAGAGAATACCTAGAGAGCCTGAAGTTGGGGAGAAGGGGTGTGTGTCTGTGTGTGTGTGTATGTATGTATGTGTTTGGTATGGAGGGAATATTTTGCTCTTTGTTTCCTGATTTTAAACCTTCAAGTTGTAGGCAAATTTCAGACTAGTCAGGCTCTGAAAGAAATCATAATGAAGTTATAAAATACGAAATATACAAATTGCTGTAGGTTTTTCAATAAATCATCATAAATAATTTAAATCAACGATATGGTGCACTTTACCATGTTCTGGTACTTCAGCAGTCTGTCTACAGCTTGGGATTCTCTCTGTAGAGCATAGATGCCGTGAGTAGAAAAGGCATTTTTAGTTCTGAGCCGCTTTCCAGATAAAAATATGGAAACTGCCTTGTGATTCTGGGCTAGCACTTCTTAAAACAGGATTTTACCTACATAAAATCTAAGACATTGAAGGTAGGAAGGCCAATGATGACTGAAGAAGGTCAAGTTTATGTTGTAAAGTACATTTTAACTACTATAAAACTAATGTTGTTTCCCACAGTCTAAGAGTCCAGCATATTTGAAATGGCAACCACTTTCTTTCTATAAAAACAGGACTTGGTTGTTTGCAAGTGTATAACAGAACTCACTAGAGATCTTTTTTTCAAAGCATTCATTACTTTGTGTCATAAATAGCTATTTAGCATTTATTCTTAGAATCTTAACTTGTTAATTCTTAAGTCACATTTTAAAACTTAAAAATCTAATAATAATTTGCTCTCCTACTCTGAATTCTGAACTCCAGGTTACAAATAGAAGCCAACCACTGATCATTTCAATGTAATGAAGCATCTACTGTCAAAGAAGGAAACCATTTGTTAAGCCCATATACATACTGAGTCTTCAGATACAGAGATGTTTGCATTTCTGGATTAAAATCAGTGTACTTATGGTAAATAAAGGCATGTTTGAAATTGGTTAGAGGTAAAAAAAAAAAAAATCTAATAATAATTCAATAAACATTACCTACCAATGACATGGATGGAGCTAGAGAGTATTATGCTAAGTGAAATAAGTCAGTCAGAGAAAGACAAATACCATAATATGATTTCACTCATATGTGGAATTTAAGAAACAAAACAAATGAGCATAGGGGAAAAAAAAAGAAGAGCGAGAGGCAAATCAAGAAACACTGGCTCTTAACTATAGAGAACAAACTGTTGGTTACCAGCAGGGAGGTGGGTAGGGGGAGTGATGGGGATTAAGGAGCACACTTGTGATGAGCACTGGGTGTTGTATGGAAGTGTTAGATCACTGAATCGTACACCTGAAACTTACATTACAGTGTATGTTAACTAACTGGAATTTAAATAAAAACTTAAAAAAAAATAAACATTACCTAGAAGGGCCCACTAGAGAGACTGTTGCATAAGGGTCACAGCTTTGTCCATTTATGAGAGGCAACCCATGGCATGCCATGATGCTAAGGAAGAATAAAAGAAAGTTAACATATATTCAAGTTTAGCAACATAAAGCATTATTTTTAAATACAAATTAATATATTCAAAGGGTTAAAACTGTTTTCCACAAGTCTGCAGAAGTATGCCTATATACCACCTACCCCAAATACATCTATCTGTACTGTGCACTTATTTATTTATGCTGTATTTCTGAAATAGGACTTCAACTAGATTGCCACAATCAGTACTGGGACTACCAAATAATATGTAGCACACATCCCCCCACTAAATATCCAGCAAGGTACAGTCTGTGGTTTGACAATATATTAAAACTGCTGTGGCTTCTAAACAGGAAAAGAATGTGGTGTGAACCTTAAAGGAGAAACTACAAACCAAGCTAGATCTATGGCATCACATCCTCTGCTAAAGCATGAATGAGAAACAAGGAAACGACTGTGGTTTCCACTTGAAATCTGATTCATAAATAGAGGGCAAGCCTCCCACAATTCTGTAGCCTTTTATTCTGATTCTCAGTAACAGCTCCTATATCATTCTGCAGAAAATGTTTCAGAACTTAAAAACCAAGGTCTTCTAATCCGATCTATAGGTAAGGTCACTGGTATTTACAGAGGACATAGAATCTAACTTAATGGTCTGCTCCCCACATTTCCTCACTCAGTATTTAGTTCACGAATTTAGTTTAACATCTAAGGGTCCGCATTTCCTAATGTCTACAAAAAACTCATGAGAGTTGCTGAAAAGTATTCTTTGTTGAAAGATGTGGGCTATTGAGCAACATCCTTATTTCTCTCCACAACCCACAGATCATGTATGTGGGTGAAGTGCATATGCTGTGCTGCCAAGTAAAGAAATAAATGATAATATGACTCATTTCTATTAAATTGAGTATCAAAAATCAAATTTAAAAATTTCTGAAACCAAAGAAAGCACAGGCCAAGATAATAATTCTGGTTATTAATATTAGGTTCAGGTACAGTCAAATTTTCCAACTATATACCGTTTGAAACTTACAGTCCTCAGGCTAAATCTCAAAATGATACCTGGTTTTTACATAGCATTTGTAGTTTACCATGTATTTTCACAAAATGTATCTAATTCCCACAACTGCCTTTGAGAAAAAACACCTTAAAGAAAAAAAGGCCCAAAAAGATTATGTGCGACAGACAGTAACAAAATAAGGCTAAAGAGGTAATGCTACTTTTACAAAGTGGGCCAAGACCCAACTTCTACTTTCTTAACTGTTTCTACAGTCCAGTGTCTTTCTACATTCCCTACTGCACCTGAATTTATTGTATTACTCTCCTTGTAATACCAAATTTATCTCATGTAAACACTAATTATGAGAAATCTTATAGAAAGTCACTATAATTTTATGAAGTATAAAAAAACCTAAGAAAAATGCAGTTCATTATACAAAGACTTCTATAAGAATACTTCACAACGCAAAACAATGATGTCCATAAGCCAGAAATATGAATCTATAAAAATCATCAGAAGTGGTCTTAACTTTTATTTTTATTTTTTTTTTAATTTTTTTTTTTTAAAGATTTTATTTATTTGAGAGAGAGAATGAGACAGAGAGAGAGAGCATGAGAGAGGGGAGGGTCAGAGGGAGAAGCAGACTCCCTGCTGAGCAGGGAGTCCGATGCGGGACTCGATCCCGGGACTCCAGGATCATGACCTGAGCCGAAGGCGGTTGCTTAACCAACTGAGCCACCCAGGGGCCCCAAGAAGTGGTCTTAACTTTTAAATGTAAGATAGTTTTAAAATTGTTTTCTGACAAACTCAGTATTATTAAATACTAATTATTTTATTTACTGCATGTCATGAAATATTTTTCTAATTACCGAGAATACAACTATTCTTCTAATCAGTGAATCAAGCAAATTCATATCATAAACCATGGATAAGCAGAAAACAAATGTTGAAAATGAGCTTGGTATACTAAATCATCTTACATTTGGTTTAAATATGACATTTGATATTAATACATTTTCTAGAAATTGCAAAGGAAAATAAATTTAGTCCAAACTTGTTTAAAATATAGAATGACCTAAATCTCTTCCTTGAGGTTTTGTTGTTGTTTTAAACTAGAAGACAAGTGTTAATGTCTATGTACAGCCAAGATGGAGTAACAGGGAAAAGAGTTACCTTCCTGCCTGAAATAACCGGGGGGGGGGGGGGGGGGGGGGGAGAAGGAACAAAATTGGCAGTGCAGGACACCGATCTCTGAGGGGAGAAGAAATGAAGTGAGCCCCTAACTGTCCCAGCTTACTGCTAGAGGGAGAGTTGTCAGTTGGCAACTAGAGTTCCCAAGGCAGAGTACCAGAGAAAAGAAAAGCTGCACAGAAAGAAACCTCCAGAGAGCTACAAGAATCCCCCTGGAGTCATTAGCTGAGTGCTGATAAGCATATACGTGTGAGGAAACTGAGGCTAGGCAAAGAATCATTTGAAAAGAGCAGAGGGCCTTCCGCTTGGGTTGTGATCCTGGGGTCCTGGGATCAGGTCCCGCACTGGGCTACCTTCTCAGCAGGGAGTCTGCTTCTCCCTCTCCCCCTGCCCCTCCCCCCCAACTCATGCTCTCTCGCTTGCTCTCTCTCTCAAGTAAATAAATAAAATCTTAAAAAAAAAAGAGCAGAGGGAACAATTCCTGAAGCCCACAAATGGCTAGCATAAGATCCTACCAGCCATATAATGAAACCTGGTAATTCACAGATGCTGCCTCATGATTGGGAAAACATAAGTCCTAGACTAAAGGCTGCTCTTATTCCATCCATCAAAGTTTAAAAGCAAACCACAAAAGAATGAAACTGTTTCCAAGTTACTTAACTGGGTCAAGTGTACTGATAAAAATATAAAAATATCCAGAAACTTCGTAATGTCTAGAATCAAACAGAAAATAACCAGGAACACAAAGAATCAAAAAAAAATAGGGGCCAAAATATCTCAATAAACAATAAAAATCTCAAACAACCTAATCCTACACATAAAGGAGTGAGAAAAAGAAGCACAGCAAAACTCCAGTAGGAGGAAGGAAATAATAAAGATCAGAGGAGAAATAAATGAAATAGAAACTTAAAAAACAATAAAACATATCAATGAAACCAGGACTGGTTCTTTGAAAAGATCAACAAAATTGACAAACCTTTAGCCAGACTCCCCAGAGGGAGAGAGAGGGAGACAGAGAGAGAGAGGACTCAAAAACAAAATCAGAAATTAGAAGAGGAGAAATAACAACTGACATCACAGATATACAAAGGATTATAAGAAAATATTATGAAAAATTATACACTAACAAATTGGACAACCTAGAAGAGATAAATTCCTAGACACATATAATGTTCCAAAACTGAATCAGGAGGAAATAGAAAATTTGAACATGAACAGACCAATTACCAGCAATGAAACTGAATCAGTAATCAAAAAATTCCCAAGAAACAGAAGTCCAGGACCAGATGGTGTCACAGGTGAATTCTATCAAACATTTAAAGAGTTAGTATCTATTCTCAAACTATTCCAAAAAATACAAGAGATAGGAAGGCTTCCAAATTCATTCTATGAGGCCTGTATTACCCTGATACCAAAACCAGATAAAGACACTGTAAAAGAAAGGCAACTACAAGTCAGAATCTCTGATGAAAGTGGATGCAAAAATCCTCAACAAAATATTAGCAAATCAAATCCAACAATATATTAAAAAAATCATTCATCATGATCAAGTGGGATTTATTCCCAGAATGCAAGGGTGGTTCAATATTCACAAATCAATCTACATGATATATCACATCAACAAGAGAAAGGATGAAAACCACACGGTCATTTCAACAGATGCAGAAAAAGCATCTGACAAAGTACAACATCCATTCATGATAAAAACCCTCATTAAAGTAAGTTTAGAGGGAACATACCTCAACATAATAAAGGTCTTATATGAAAAACCCACAGCTAAAATCATCCTTAATGGGGAAAAACTGAGCCTTCCCCTCAAGATCAGAAACAAGACAAGAATGTCCACTCTCATCACTTTTATTCAACATAGTACTGGAAGTCCTAGCCACAGCAATCAGAAAACAAAAAGAAATAAAAGGCATCCAAATTGGTAAGGAAGTAAAACTTTCACTATTTGTAGATGACATGATACTGTACACAGAAAACCCTAAAAACTCCACCAAAAAACCAGAACTCCTAAATGAATTCAGTAAGGTTGCAGGATACAAAATCAATATACAGAAATTCATTGCACTTCTATACACTAAGAATGAAATAGCAGAAAGAGAAATTTAAAAAATCCCATTTACAATTGTGCCAAAAACAATAAAATACCTAGTAATAAACATAGTCAAAGAGGTAGAAGATCTTCTAGTATTCTGAAAACTATAATACACTGATAAAAGAATCTGAAATGAAGGGGGGGAAATCGGAGGGGGAGATGAACCATGAGAGACTATGGACTCTGAAAAACAAACTGAGGGTTCTAGAGGGAATGGGGGTGGGGGGATGGGTTAGCCTGGTGATGGGTATTAAAGAGGGCACGTTCTGCATAGAGCGCTGGGTGTTATACGCAAACAATGACTCATGGAACACTACGTCAAGAACTAATGATGTAATGTATGGTGATTAACATAACATAATAATAATAAAAAAAGAATTTGAAGATGACAAAAACAAATGGGAAGATATCCCATGCTCATGGATTGGGAGAACAAATATTGCTAAAATGTCCAGACTACCCAAAGCAATCTACACATTTAATGCAATCCCTTTCAAACAACAGCCTTGTTCACAGAACTAGAATAAATAATCCTAAAATTTGTATGGAACCACTAAAGACTCCAAATAGCCAAATCAATCTTGAAAACAAGGAACAAAACTGAAAGTACTGCAATCCCAGATTTCAAGATATAGAGTACTGGCACAAAAAAAGACATACAGATCAATGGAACAGAACAGAGAGCCCAGAAATGAATCCATGATTACATGATCAATTAATCTTCAACAAAGG